GCGTCATTCTCTACAATCAATGTAATATCGTTTATTTTCATGGAAAATTTTAAAGCAATATTCTACATGACCATTTAAATGGCTGTGGCTTTTGGTGTACGAACAATACTGCGGTGAGGATTTTGAGTTTTTATGGAAACATGCATTCCGGTTATACGTGGTAAATGTTCTGGATGATAAACATCTTCTGTACTGTGACTTTTCTTTTTCAAATCATCGTAAGCGGTAGCTTCTGTAATAAACATTGGGTGCTCTGATGCAAGAAGAAGGTTTCTGGTAATGAAATTCTTGAAGTCCAACTGAGGCATGTGTTAGTAAAAGCAACGACAAAGGAATGTAGTTTTCAAGCGTTTACTACAGTGCTATTTAAACCATCAAAGTGGCCGCCACCACTTTTTGCTTCTATTCCCAATACGACAGTTAGCAACTCCATTGCCATGTAAGTCGACGCCACCCATGAGTCGGTAGTAACTGTTTATAACTTGAGGCCGAGGGACATCAATTTTTGTTTTCTCTCTGTTATAGTCTTGCATATTTACTATGGGTTCAACGGAATCATATAGTATGTTACAATGGATACTTACAATGGTTCAATAATTCCTTTACAAAAAATGCACCGATTCCCAATTGTTTGTTCTATTTGTCAGTTACAGCGAAGTGTGGCAGAAATCGGATAATATACCCATTATCCGAAGAAAGGGTTCATAGCTTATAATCGAAACGTATTAGTTAGGCATTTCTACGAGATCACCATAATCTTGTGTATTTGATTCGTATACAGCTTCAATAGTACCTAAATACTCTCTAACAATTAGACAAACAGAATTCAAAAAAGGAGAACAAAATTTTAAAGTCGCATGTAATGTTTGTTAATATTCCATCATCGTCAATCATTTCATTGTCCGATTCACCAGCAACATTATCAAGTGGCACACATTATCATTCAATAGGTAGCCGAGTGACACTTGGCACTAATGAGTCATCTTCGCTCCAATTGTCAATAATATGCAATAGTTCCTGATTTCTTAGATATCTTAATTTTATTTACAGTAAAATAATGACAACAGAACTTTTAGCATGAACAAATGTAAGCCCTGCAAAAAACAATCAAATTCAGACTAACTCAACCAGCAATCAAATATCAAAATAGACTTATTACTATTATGCATAGTAAAAAAACATAAGTTTGAGTAAATCAGAAGAGTATGATATTTATTAGAGAGATTACTGTCATTTTATTTCATTATCGAACGACAAACGCTGATATTGCATTGTTTCATCATTATATTGTTATGGGACCCAGCGTGTGGTTCACCACACGCCTTCTTTCGACGGCGTCTGGTAGCAAGTAACTGTCACTAAAGCGCCGGCAAAAATTACGAAAATTATATTTGGACTTTTCCAAACACATATTATAACAAATATATTGGTTTTTATTTCTGTTTATTTTAATTATCATTTGATGAAAAAGGGCATTTTTTTGGGCACTTTTTATTTCGGACCAGGTAAACTCATGAACAGATGAAAACTGTTCCAAATATGTATTTTTATATTATTAAGATATCAAACTAAGTAACAAAAATAAAAAACATTGAATTAATTAATCTATATACATAAAAGAAAGTCGTGTTAGTTAGACCACTCATAACTCAAGAACGGCTGAACCGATTTTAATTATCTTTGATTTGTTGGAATCGTCTCCGCTCCGAATAGCAGAATACATGCTGTTTCAAACTGTTGACAGTTTGAGTGATATTTTTTTCTTTTTAAATTTTTTCTTCAAATATTTCAAATATTTGAAATTTCAAATATAATAAATAAATATTGTTATCAATATACCATCGAATCCACGTGACCTGTGGAACAAATATAAGGATAACATGTCAGAAGACATTTTACATAGAATTCGTGTCAGTTCAATCCCGATCTTGAGGTGAATGATGAAATGCATAATCAGGCTTTGCTCTTGATCGAAGACATATGTTACCATACCTGCGGTAGTTTGTTAGTCAGTTTAGGAATGCCAGCTCCTGGTCGTGGAATAAATAACGCATTTAATCGAGAATTGGAACGTGAACGTGAATATGATCGACATGAATTAGACCAATCAGTTCAAACTAATGTACCTCTATTGAATCCGCAGCAGAAGGAAGTTTAACAGTAATGAAAGCGATTGATGAAGAAAATGGTGGCTTTTTTTTCCTGGGCGCCTCCGGTGGAACTGGTAAAACATTCCTCATGTCATTAATTTTGGCCACTGTTCGTGCGATATTCCGACATTGCGGTAGCAGTTGCTTCTTCTGGAATAGCGGCTACATTGTTAGAAGGATGCTGTACGGCTCAGTCAGCGTTAAAATTGCCGTTAAACCTTCAAACTACCGAGCAACCGATATGTAATATTGCGAAGCATTCTGCAATGGCTAAAGTTTTAGTAGCATCTAAAGTCATCATCTGGGACGAATGCACAATGGCGCACAAACGCGCATTAGAAGCACTTGACAGAACATTGAAAGATCTTCGCAATGACTCGAGATGTTTTGGAGACGCAATGATTTTACTGTCTGGCGATTTTCGCCAAACACTCCCAGTTATTCCAAAATCGACTGTTGCCGACGAAATAAATGCTTGCCTTAAATCATCAAATCTTTGGCGCTATGTGAAGAAACTTCAGCTGGTAACAAACATGAGAGTTGCATTGGTAAACGATACATCTGCTGAAGAGTTCTCCAAGCAATTGCTGTTAATCGGTAATGGCCGTGTGGCTGTTGAAGAATCAAGCGGATTAATTGCATTTCCTTCAAATTTTTGCAATTTCGTCTCATCAAAAGACGAACTCATCAATGAAGTATTTCCGAACATCATTGCTAATCATAAAAACAAAAAATGGTTGAGTGAGCGAGCAATTTTGGCAGCTAAGAACAAAGATGTGAATGACTTAAATTTTGTAATTTAAAATCAAATCGTTGGTACTCTGCATACATTCAAATCTATTGACTGTGTAACAAACGAAGAAGAAGCTATCAACTATCCAACTGAATTTTTGAACTCCTTGGATGTGACTGGCTTACCACCGCACAATTTACAATTAAAGATTGGTTCGGTAGTCATTATGCTTCGAAATCTAAACCAACCAAAACTATGCAATGGAACGCGATTAGTGATAACAAAACTGATGGCCAATGTGATTCACGCAATGATACTCAAAGGAAAATTCAAAAGTGATGAAGTTCTCATTTCGAGGATTCCAATGATCTCAATCGATATGCCCTTTGAGTTTAAACGAATGCAATTTCCTATTTGGCTTGCATTCGCCAATCCTTTAGTGTTTGTGGTCTGAATCTAGAAAATGCATGTTTCTCACATGGTCAATTGTACGTGGCATGTTCACGTGTAGGCAAACCATCTGCTTTATTTGTTCTTGCGTATATCACAAGGTTCTTTATTGAAGGGAATCAATCAGAGTGCAACCTATAGGTTCTTGCTGACAGACCATTAAAATAATTAATTATATATCAATATCCTAATAAACTATTGAATACAATAAATTTTTTGTATTCATTTTATTACGTTAATAAATTTCTAAATTTAGTTTACCTATAATTTAATATAACATTTATTGACTGTTACGCGTTACGAAGTTTGCGGGGTCATCTAGTTTTATATATTTTATATATTTTTAAATAATTTTCAAAGTTAGCCGTGTGTACCACACGGAGGTACGTAATGGGTTAAACATACGGTCGCAGTATCAGAGACAGTCTCGAAGGCAATGTTTTCGAAGACCACTTTTTCTACTGGGGAGGCATTCTTGTTGAATGTGATGCATAGACTTTGTTGTTGTTCTTTTTTTTTCTTAAATTATATTACTAGCTTTGTGTGCATGAAATGCACAAGTTCTTCCATAATTATTTTAAACATTATTTTTGTTGAAATTTTGTACTGGTCTCACAAAAACATGAGGTTTTCTTATTATATGGTGAGTAAGCAACCATAGTTTTTGGAGTGTAGGGGCTATTAATATATTCGGTTTATATATAATATAGATCTATAAGTCCATAGAAGCAATAGTATCATGCAGTGTATTAATAAACACCATGTAATTCAATAATTATTTGTTTTATATTTTAAGTTTTTATTATTACTTTATCAAATCATATAAAATCATACTAAATGATTAACTAAGTATTCTTTTATAAATTATATAAATCAGCATTATAAACTTTATATGACGTCATTATATAAAATGGAACTATTAATTAAATTTAATTGTATATTACTTATAAATAAATTTAGTTATATTAGGGTGAATATTTTTGTATCATTGTTAATGTTTTTAAGCATTTATAAGCACTGTTAGACTAATATTTTTTATATAAATTTAAATTTTTACAATTTTTTTAAATTGATGGTATGATTGTAAATTTTGCACTATCTTGTCAACTCTGTAGTAGCCGTTTTGAATTCTGGTATAAAAGAATTTTTATTTATATATAAATTATAAATTTTTTGATACAGTTCTTTTTAAGTTTTACATGCTTACACTATCATCGGGTATTGTAATTATTAATATTAGTCTCGTAGAAATTAAAAATTCATTCAGTTAGTTAATTTATTTAAATCAAATAGAGCCTTCTGATGAACACAGTAGATCTCACTTCGCACCTGAAAATATTATTTGAGGAATTTTGTATGAGCTCAGCATCCGAGCGATGCACGTAAGGATATAAACCTCATGTTCATTTATGTCTATTGTATTTTACATTCAATTTTATTATTCCTTTTTGCGTTAAGTAAACATAATAATACATGTGAACAAGGGCTGCTTGATAAGTCGGTGTTTAATGCGAGCAGTTTTGGCTGACTGTTATTATGGAGTAGCACATTTTTGAGCTTAAAATGTTTTGTGCTATGAAATACATTTGACACAATTAATATAAATGATCAAGGTGTATTATTCTGAGATACGCAAAATCTATGATTACTAAAATATTTAATATATAACACATAATTCAATGCTTTATAGAATTCTTTATATTAGTTTTTAGTTTTTTTACTTTTTTTTTGAGACACATTTTTCCTCATTTAATAACGATTTAATAACGAAATCTAAACGAGTTTCGTACAAAACTTAAGGAAACTGCTCACCGGGTAAATTCATTGTTATTCTCTGTTATGTTTGCAGCATACTCAATGCGTGCCATTTATCACTGCTGAGATTCACAGTTTCATTTTACGCTATTTCTGTTATGTGAACATATTTGAAAGCATTTAAAATGTTTCATTTTACAATTGTTTAACAGATCGCTCATTGCTGTGTTCTGTTATGTTAAAAATGTGTATTCGAAAACAAAGTTAATGTGAATGTTATACGCCATATGGAGTCATTGGTGTTGTAATTTTAATATTATTGACATTATAGACTGTTAAAAGTCTACTGTTATTTTTATTGCTGTTATTGCTCCTCTGTTGTTTGGATTTGTTGTCGCCAATGCTAACTTGTCGCATCTGTCTGTATGTGCATTTGTCAGTCTTAGGATAGTTATGTTGAGTTTTGTGCTGTGCTTTTGTAATATGTGCTGCAATTGTTGACGGTAAATAACAGCAAACAACAGTCGTCAGTAGCAAGCAGCAAGTTGCAGTTTTTATTGGCAACATTGGCTCGCAGGCAGTCAAACTAAAACAGTGTGCTTTGATTCACGGCGCTTAGAAGAATTCAAACGAATTTTAACGTCAAATTTTTGTGCAATTAAGTTTTTGTGAAGAAATAATTTTTGGAGAAAATATTATAATTACACAAATAAGAAACATAATTAATGAATAAGTTTTTGTGTATTTTACGCATTTGTGATTAATTTGGCGAGGTGACAGTGACTTGCTTCAACAACTAGGAAAAGTGTAGAATTAACTTGCATTTTGGTGCAATTAAAAATATTTCAATTGAATATCAATTTTTGGCGCGCTTTGTTCAAAAGCAATTTTAAATAACTCGTCTGTCTGGTAAGTCAGACTTTATACATTATATTTATTAATAAGTTTACATATTATTAAAAAAATGTTTTTCAGTTTACATAATAAATAATAATAATAAATTTACAAAACAGTAACAATAACATTTTTTATGCCATAGAATTAGTTAACGTCATTTTTGATGATTTCTTACACATTTGTGAAAAGTAGTTGTTTATTATAATTATTTTCATTTTTTATTTATTTAGGTTTTCCTTTTTATGTTGGTAAATGTTTATGTTTCCATTTGTATTTTTGAAAGCATAGCAGAAAGAGTCTTGTAACATGACTTTTCCATTTTTTTTTTGACATCGCAATGTGTTTTCTTATGAATATGTATACTTGTGAATGTCTTTTTACATTTTAAATTAAGAAACCATACGAATTTGAAAGTTTTCTAGCATAAGTTTCAATTAAGGCTATGGAATGTCAATGGCTTCTGCTCACATAATTTAATAAGTATTTTAGTCAGAAACACGCAGATATTCTTGAAAGAACTGTCCAAAATTTGTGTACATAAATTATATTATACATAAAAAAGGACAAAATGATGAAATTATTTCCAAAAGCAACAAAGTTCAAAAATCAACAGTAAAATATGTGCTTAGAATGTTAACAAATCCGCTTTTCATAGAATTAAATTTTCTTGTAAACACGATTTGAATTTTTAAAGTCACTCATACGCCCCGTAATTATAAATGAAAAACGAAGTGTTAAAGCATAAACTAATAAATAAGTAAGTTTAGTGTAGCAATTTAAGATATTCAAAATAAAAACAATTAGCTTCTTTTGATATCATTAATATTTGTAAAATATTATTATATTTTATATTAAATTATATTTTATATTATTTTACCTATTTTATTATGTTAAATAAATAAATAAATTAAAAATAATATAAATAATATAAGCATAACGAAATTATACATTTTTCTTTTATTTTAGTAGTTTAATTTGCAATAAAAAGTTATTATTTTTTTAATTATTTCTGTTAAATTGTAGCAGCAACGGAAAATGTGTGATATTGACATACATGGTTTTCGATGATGCATTGCAGCAATAGTTGGTTAGGTCAGCATGGTCAACAGCTACACTATGGACTCTATTGAATAGCCAAGTTTTCACACTTATTTTCTTTTCCAATTTAACTTTGGTGTCATTATAAAAGTTAATAGATCTTAGTTATTTTTTGTAATTTCACAGGTTTCAGAGCCATAGAATATATTTTAGAGTGATCACAATGTTGTTTTCAATATCTTTTAACATTCAATTTCATCATTTTACATTTAACTACAATCTATACAGCATTCAAAAAGCATTTCACGATATGGTTTACTATCGCTGTGTAAGGCTCTCTCGATCGCGTAGAGTGTATCAATTTGCCAATATTTCGACCATGTGTGGAAATTCCATGTGTGGATATTCCTTACCCATAAGGGTCGTTTTCGCCCAACAAATGTAAGTTGCAATACTTCGTACTTGCGTGCAAGTATTATGTGTCCCAAGCATGCTACTTTACTTTTTTTAATGCCTTTCAGCAGTTCTTTTTCTTGCTGCATTCTTGGTGAGCACTTCTTCATTGGTAACTCAATTTTCTTGCAGTCCAAAGTATTTTCAATAGACGGCGATAACACCACATTTCGAAAGCCTCCACTTTGTTCATTGTAGTTGTTACATACTTAGACTAACATACTTAGATAACAATTCATACATCTCATTCTAAGCAGTAGACTAAATTTTGGATTATTCAATATTTTGGCTATTTCAATTCTACATTTGATTTCTTGATCTAGGTCCCAAAGCTCATTTAAAGAACATCCCAGATACTTAAATTTTGAAACACGCTCAATATTCAGATTATCAACTACAATTCTCGCAATTGGATTATAGATTTGATTCCTACTGACTACCACAAACATTGTCTTTTTATGTTTATATTTAAGCACT